TTATAAAATCGAAGGGGGTTGAAATAGAGCAGCGATTTTCACCCTTTCTCACCTCATGGCACACGTAAACTAATTTCTAAAATTCTGCGACACACGAAAAATGTTCTTTTTGCCAATCTGACAAAAAAAAGGTGTAATTTTGATTCATTCATACCAGATGGCTACCGTTGTGTTGGCTGTGGTTATTTTTTAATTTGGCAGTGTAAGGAAAAAGAAGTCAGCGGCACTGACTAAATAGTCAGGTATGGCAGGTTTGAAAAATTCTTGCAGCGCACCAGTTGGAAATCCCTGAAATGGGTACTCCGTCACATCCATTTTGACTCGGAAGAGCCGCGATCGGATGTGGGGTCAGAAGCTTCAGTTCCTGTGCGCCTGCGGCTGCCTCTCCCAGCCTGGTGCTTGACATCGTCTCCTGGAATGTCCGTTCCATGTGAAGATTGTTTTTGAAAAAATGTTTGGTCAAATGAAGAGGCAAACAAAAGCTTCTCATCTTTTAGAAGGAAAAGAATGCTTTGAACGAATTTCTCGCTCACCCGGACCTGCCCCTAGCGCCTCCCCCACTCCCAGGAGGAGGCCGGTGCTCACCCGCATGAAGGCCGCTGCGCGGCCGGACGCCAGGCGAACGTGCCAGAGCCCTGCGGCCTCAGTGTCCAAGAGGCGCAGGGCTTCTGTCTGCGAGGCCGCTGCTGTCGGCCGCGGGCTTTCATAGTGGCTGTGGGGGAGAGGAGAGGAAAGAGTGAAATTTTGAGGACGTAGCCAGGGCCATATATTTACTGTCTTTGTTTACAAGTACAGTATAGGTTTTTGAGTTTGCAAAAACAAATACAAATATTTATATAATATTTTTAGAGATTTCCATGTTTTGGCATTTTGGGGTTTTAATAACATGTCCCGCTGGCTTTTGCAGTTTAAGTTAAAAAATGTAACATTAGGCTCAGAATTAAAAAATAAGGCAGAAGCAAAATATCAGGTAACAGAAGGCTTGTGGTGAGCGCGCGCCTTGGGCGCCGAGCTACCGGGCCGGCCGGTTTCCGGGAGCCGCGGGCGTGGGAGCTGATCGGTGGGCTGCTGTGCGCTCCCGTGCAGTTTGGGTCTCTGGTCCCTCCGTCAATCGAAGGGCCCTGTTTCATGTGCTACAAATACAAAGCCTTTGTATCTAAGACTCTTAACATATAAATGTTCATTAAGGAGGAATGTAAACCGAACCAGCAGGTGTCACCAAGGACCGTAATAACATTATTAGCTGTGATTCACCTTTTATTGTTACTCTGCAGAGATGCCTCAGTGCGCACAGCTGTACGGTGATGTTGCGGGGGTCCTCTGTCCTCTGTGCGGAGTCCCCCGCTCTCCATGCTGCCCGAGCAGGACACGGGCCGTGTTTTAGAGAACACGTCTGACGCATAGCAGCAGCTCTGACAAGGTGTAGTTCAAAGGATGTTATGAACTTTCCTTCATTTCAGTGTCTTGAAAAAAATTCCACATACATTATTCTGTGTCAGTAAAGCTTATATTTAACAGTTTGAAGGTTTCTTTCATTCTCTGTGTTGTATTTTTTCCAAAATTCTAATCCTGTTGACTAGTTAACAACCATACTCATTTGATAGGAATAGAAGTAGGAATTCCTAAACATTGGTTCTAATAATGGGCCTAATTTCCCAATGAAAACGGTATTCACATTCTTTCCGCACACAATGAGCTATTTTATTTTAGACCTATTCCAGTCCATTGAGTGGTCAAGGGAAGTAATGTCTGTCTTTCTACGAAATGGAAAGGTTCATTACATTTCTCAGCTGATCGTACATTTTATTGGAAGTGCTCTCTCTTATTTCTTGTCACGTGATGACTTGCCAGAACTGCAAACCCAGGAGGCAAACACGGGTCCGGTCCTGTGCGAAGGCCTCCGGAGGGACGGAAGCGAGGAGGGAGTCCGGGCGGAGGGTGGGGGCCCTCAGGAAAGGCTGCGGAGTCCGGACCGCCTGAGCTGCTTTCATTTTCTCGTCGCGCCACGTAGCACTGGCGTGTCTGACACGCACGCGTGACGCGGCAGGCTCGAGCATTCCTCGGCCGTCCCACTCCTGGATATTCCCTCAAGGGAGATGAAGATGCGGACCTGTGTGCCGGCCTTCAGAGCGGCTCTCTTTGTCCTTCCCCAAACTGGGAACCAGCGTGTCCTGAGTCGGGTTCCTCTGTGTTGGCAGTTTTGGCAAGCGCGGCACGGAGGTGTTTTCTCCCAAGGGGCTCATGCTCGGAGGCATGAGATGTGTGTTGAGCTTGCTCTCCTGGCTGACTGCGGCCTGCCAGGCCCTCCGCCGCAGGGTTGCCTTTTCCCCTTGTCACTGATAAATAATTGTGTGGGGGGGGATATTTTCAGACACTCTAAATAACTTGTTCCACTAGTTAACATCCATCGATGAGCCTTGCCTGAATCAGTTAACTTCCCTGAAGACTGGCGAAGAGTGTTTTTTTAATTCCATCACAGTTTTTCTTCGTAAGGTGACATTATCTTGTAAGGAGCAGTTCCTCTCTTCTCTGCTGTTTATTAATTTATATCTTTATGACTCACGGGTTTTCTTTTATTCAGTGGATTATGAGTGACTCTTAAACGGTTCCAAATGCGGCCGTGGGACCCCGTGTCCGCGGGCTGGGCCCCCTGGACGCGGCCGCACTGCTCCTTCCGCAGCCCGGTGGGGTCGGGCTCCGTGGGTCCTTCCCGGCCCCGCCCTGTGATTGGCCCCTCCCTCTGGAGGGCCCCGGCTCCTGCAGGGGGAGGAGGGCACGTGGAAACCAAGAGCGGGGGCCGGGTCAGGTGCGTGGTTTTCGCTGTCATCGGGGAGCTGGTGACGCTCCAGAAGCAGACATCGTTCTCTTCGAAGATCTGATAGCGATCTTCGCTGCTCTTAAATGTGACTCATAAGGACAGAGATGCATGAATGAACTGTTGATACCAGTGCAGCTGCTTGACTTTCTTTGTCGTGTTCGATATGGAAACCCTGCTTGCCTGACTGTGGGAAACGCTGCGTGACTCAGTCAGTGCAACAGAGACCAGGGGTGAGGTCAGGAATGGTCCTGCTGAATGGGGAGTGTGGGGCCAAGAAAAATATTTAGCTCTGGATTTGAGCTTTGAGACTCTGCCAAGCATCAGTCACCCTACAAGTTCCCTGGCGCCCTTTTGCCGTCTGTAGGTGTTGCGTGCACAGGGCCCTAAGCCACTGACCTTCTTTGGGACGAGAGCTGTTTTAATACAGTCAGTCCTCTTTACTGCTATTCATAAGTTGTAGCTTTTTTGATCGACAAAATATAGCATTAACATTTTTTTCATAGACTATTTAGATGTTATACATAACTTGAGATTTTGTGGATAACCTTGATGATTGAAGGGCACCTTCATTTCAAGAAAAGGAAGCCGTTGAGTAAGTTTGAACGAGTATACTTCAGCTCTTCAGAATTCTAAAAAATCAAGAAAAGAAAAACTTCTAAAACTGTTAATCTGAAATCTTCAGAGTGGTGTGCGCAATAGCTTCATATTGAAGATTTCATGTTGTGTCAAGAATCTATAGAGATTCATGCTATAAACTGTAAAGCATGATGGAATTATCTAAATATATGTTTGAAAGCAGAAAATATTTCGAAATGAGTAGAATCTATGCTTACTCTTTGTTAGTGCAATTGGATTTACTCTAAGCTTTGGATTAAGTTAGAAGATGAATTTGAAAGATTTTAAGATTGGCCTTTATGTCTTCAGGTAAATAATTTTTGTTGTAACATGAGGGGAATAGTCTCCTTTAGCTAAGCCTTCTTCAATATTAACTATAATTTTAAAATGCTTTCTATCTAATGGCTGGAGATATATATATTTTTTTTGAAATGAAGGTCACAAAGAAAATGCATGAAATGATTTTCTTTCAAATATATATTTAAGCCTCATCTTTTTTTACTCTATATGTTTTAATTCTATATTTTATAATCGATAAAGAATCAAGTTAGTATTTTTAAATTTATGCTAGTTTATTTTGTCAATTTCTCCAAAAAATACTGAACTTTTAAAGTTGGCTATCACAGAGGGTGTCTATAGCATAGAATAAAGTTTCTTACTTTGATGACCATGTTGGCTATGGCGAATACATTAACTGTGCTTGTTCAAATAATTTTTAGGAAAAAGTACACAGCATGATTTAATTTGCTTTTAATTATCTCAGCTTTAGAAACTTTATAAATATGTTACAATATGGGGACTGGGAAGGGTGAAAGGAATGTAAATGTAGGGACTGAAATGCTGCTTCCGTGCTCAAATTCGGACGAGCACCTAAATAGCGTGTCTGAGGATGACGTGATTTATTGTATGATTCGTAATACATACGGGACACTTAATTCATAAATGTTTACTAGGGTCATATGAACGCTAAAAATTTAGCCCACTGATAGGGTTTCTTAACACTACATAGTTTTTTTCGTTGAGTTAGCTTTTATTTCTGAAATTCAGATTCCTAATTATATAGTTTTATTTTCTGCAAAACATGTGGCTGTACACAAGAATAGGGGAAGATTGTTTTACTTTACCATGTGCTGGGTTTGTGAATATATGTCAAAATATTTGTCGTCGTTGAACAATCGGGGTGGGGGGGGGACCGGAACGTGTCCTGGAGAGCCGCTTCCGGCGCAGCAGAAGCGCTCGCTTTCTCAGATACAGCCGAGTGGCAGGAGAGGACCAGGCGGCGCGCCGAGCCCCTCCGCTGCCGCAGGGACGAGGTGCGGCACAGGTGTGGCTGTCGGACACGTGATACGTGCGCCCTTTCTCCCGGCGGTTCACCGCGAGGCGTCCGCGCCGCATCCTCGTCCTGCGCCTGGCCCTTCCTAACACCCACCCGGCTCGATTGTCTTCTCTTCCCCTCGTGTGTGTGAGGTTGCCTTTCCTGTCTCCCACCGTGTCTAATCAGTCAATGATGAGCGATATGAATTGGGAATGCTGTCTTTACTTAAATTTCAACTTTGCGTCTTTGCAGGTTTCTGAAGTGCTTGTCGCTTGGGACGATGGATGAGCAATCGCAAGGCATGCAAGGGCCACCTGTTCCTCAGTTCCAACCGCAGGTAATGAATGGGTCCTCGTGAGCGCCGGCGCAAGAGCGCGTGTCTGTATTCAACCCATGGATTTACAGCTCCGTTGGGAAATATGGTGGCCCGGATGCTTGTTATGAAGGTCCCAGTTTTACTGCGAGTAGTTTATGTTTTCAGGTAGTACTTTAGAATACTTTGTTCTCCTGCACAAAGATGAAAGAAAAGTTGCAGCTTTAGCTTTTAGCTCTGATGGAATAACCTTTAAAGACTTTGAGGGTCAGCGTGAGGCTTGGGGAGAGAAGTCGAAGGCGCGGCCCCACCCAGGCTGTGGCTGTGCCTGTGGAATTTGTGCCTGTCTTTGCTTTGGCCGGTGACCCTGCGTTGTCCCCAGTACCTTCAATCAGTGCCACTTCTCTCGTTCTCTGACGAGTACTGTGCTTCTCCTGTTAGGTAGTTGCTTGGTTTTTTGTAACATAATGAGATAAGAGGAATATCTTAGCAAAAAATGTCCACACACCCTTGAAATTCATTACATGGCTGTGTGGCCTTCGGCTCAGCATTTGGCGACATTTAAAACACTCCCCCGCGCGGCGGCTCCTCGTGCGGGGGGCCCTCTCAGGGGCCGCGTGGCTCAGCACGTCTTGGCTCTGCTGCTCTGGGAACGCTGCGGCGTGTGAGGGGCGGCCGCTCTTTCCGAGGAGCCCGTGGCCCGGCGGCTTCGGGAGACGAGAGCCAAGCCTGGGCCCATGCCCCCCAGGCCCCCCGGCGGGCGAGCGCCGTGTGCTGTGCTCTCCCCGTCCCGGCCACGGGGCCCTCTCCTTCCTACCTTGCAGGACACCTGCTGACTTCTCCCAGGCCCAGGTCTGTGAAGCATAGTTCAGGAAGTACTGCCACCAGCGATCGTCTTAGCTTCGTGAATGGCCTCTGTGTCTTCGTTCCTCGTGCCCCAGCCCCATCCCGCCGCCTCCAATTTCAGAAATCCTGCCCGTCCTTCAAAGGCCGCCCCAAATGCCTTTGCTCTGTGAAGGCCTCCCGCGTTTCCGAATGTAGCATCTTTTCTCGGAAACCTAGGACGCACGCTTCGCGTGTCTCTGCTGCTGCCTCCGGCACCGCGGCGTCCCTTCCCGTGCACCGTCCCCTCGCCTGCTCCGTCGGGCGGAGGAGAGTCCTCTCCACTGAGGCGGTGGAGTCCCGTCCTCGCCTGGAGCTGGGTGCCAGCCCAGCCCAGCCCGGCCGGGCTCTGCCCTGCTTGCTGCTGTCCCTGTCCCGGTTCCCTGCAATCGCTGGGGGGGCCCTGCAGCTTAGAGTGAGGCCAGCGCTTCGGTGTCAGGATGGTTGTCTGTGCTCTTAAGTCTACTCTCTTCCTTTGGCGTTGTGGCCATAAACTACCAAGATTACAGGACGCGGCATCTATTAGATATAAGTGTAGCTTCGTGCCGATTTTACACACAGACACAAACACTATCATTGCCTGTTACGTTGCTTCTAGCAAAGATGGCAAAAGAAACACCTCTAAAAAGGAGGCCACTCAGGTTGTAGTTTTGAAATTCACAGGTTTGAACTGTCCTCGGTTGCGAAGGAACAAAGCCAGGCACTTTCACTTTGCCTCCTGCCGGCCCACCAGCGGGGGCGGGGGGCGGCCGTGGGGTGGCCGTGGGGGCCGAGAGTGAAAGCCGTTGTTTCCGGGGCTGCTGGCTGCCCTGCGGCGCCCGTTCGGGGTTCCCCGCCCGCCTCGCCTCTCCGCACGGCCCCTGCTCGCGCCCCTGCCGCTGCTCCTGTGCGGGGGGGCCCTGGGGCTGGCCCCAGGGGGCGGGGGGGGGGCGGGCGGGGAGGGGGAGCTGCTTCCCCCTCTGCCTCCAGACGGGGGTGAGAGGCAGCGAGAGAAAGATGGCCTGACAGGCGCGCCGAGGCCCCAGTGCCTATTAAGTCTTTGACGAATGTGGCCCCTCTCAGTCGCATTAGTTCAACAGGCCGGGGAGGGATGGCCCTTGCTCAGGGCGACAGCTGTCCTTTGCTTTGTTCACACCGTTGGCCTGATCACAGGGCCGATGGGCCACATGTGGGCAGCCAGGGACTCGGGTCCCCCTGTGCCGCTGATGTCGGCGTGGACGCCCACAGAAAACCGAGGGCGTGGCGGTCTGTCCCGTGATGGGCGACGCGCGTCCCGGCCTGTCTTCCTTTCCTCGTTCTGAGATGGGTGCTCTGACCCCAGGATGCAGAACACCTGGTCCCCTTTTCAGAACAGTAAGAATTTCATTAAGTTTTAGAATGTAAGATGGAGAGATTTCTGTATCTTCATTAGTTTTTCTGCATTACTATCATTTCTTGAGCTCGAGGGGTAACTTTTTCCTGTCGGGTTCTCTTTCCTCCTTTCTCCTTTTTCTCTTTCCTCCCCCCGCCCTCCGCCTTCCTTTCCTTTGAACCCCCCACCGAAGCCTAGAAGCTGCTGACAGGCATTTTGGGATGCTTCTCCTGTGTATTCTCATTGCTTCAGGGCCCTTGTTTATGGGATAATGGATTTAGCTTAATTTTTTAACACACACAGACTGTAAAAAGACGATGACAGAGAAAGAGTAAAATATTTACTTTCTACCGAGACTAATTCTGAGCAGTGGAAGTTCCCACCCAACATTACGTGGCATTTTGATTCATGGTCATTGCATGACAAAGGCTGCGGTGCATTCGCTTTTTTAATGTAAAGTGGAGATAAAACACTTACCATCCAAGTGCGACCCTAAGGCTTTCTGGGAGTGATAGGGGGGAGCAGTAATGGCCAGGGCTTGGCTGTAACGATTCTTCGTGAACGCAAAGGGCCCTGGCGTGACCCTTTGGCTGCCTGAGATGGGGGAAGGCGTCCAGGTCCTCGGGGAGACAAAAGGCCACCCCTGCCTTTGCCCCCTTGGCAGGCGTGAGGACCGTGTCGTCTTAGAGTCGTCAGTTCAGGGGCAGGCGATGACCCCTCCTTCAGCTCCGTGGCAGCCCCAGCGATGGCCGCCCCCAGGTCCCGCATCCTGGGAAGGGAGCGCGGTGGGGGGAATGGAGGGGACCCCCCAGCAGGGCCAGGCGGTCCCCGGGGCCGGCGGGCCAGACGCAGCGCGCCCAGGGGCGTGCGTGGAGGGGGTCGGATTTGGGACAGGGCCGCGCTGTGACCGTCCCCTCTCAGCTGGTCTTGCGGAGCTGCTGGATGCGGTGAGGGTCACCGCTCTGCTGACTTCGTTTGATCCGTTGATTTTGCCAAGTCCTTGTCATGTAGCGTTGACAGCGAACACCTGCTTGTAGGAGTTGAGATGTAACGTTCTCCTTTAAACAGTTTACTTCGGTGAATGAGCAGCAGCTGTTCGGGGGACAGAAGGGCCTTGCTTGCGGGTCATTCCTGACCTGGGCCCTCGAGTCACCCTGCGGGCCGCCCGCGGCCCTGCCAGGCCGGCCCTCCCGCCCCCAGCACTGCTCCCCCTCCTCACGCTCGCGGCGGCTTCCTGCTTCGCTGGGAGAACCGAGCCGCCAGGAACGACTGCCCAGACCCCGCCCGTGGGTGTCCCGCTCGCCGGTCGGCCCCTGCCTCCCATCGGACGGACGAGTGGGTGACCCAGGCCAGCCCTCGGGCGCTCCAGCCGCCTCCACGCCTTCCCCCTCCGCTCTGCCGGATGAGCTTTGTTGACAAATAAAATCGAAGGACATGTTGAAATTTTGTTACTTTTAAATTTTGGAGAAATTCAGTGACATTAATGTAAAATATAAAGTAATTTATTAATTTGCACAATTGGTAATGTGAAAGTCCTTCGTAAGAGTTGATTGCAGTAACAATGAAAACCTTATTAATGACGGGAAATATTATAATTAACACTGGCTTGTGTATTGGATCATTGATAACAATACCTCTAGGAATTATCAGGACATGATTTCCTCTCTGGGGATTCTGTTGAGTCCATGATGCGGCTCTTTAATTTCCCTGGAGAGAGTCCTCGACATGATGTTACCCTGATTTATCTTATTGCTCCGTCAATGTCCTTGGATCAAGTTTAAAGCGAACTAATTAATTTAGTCCCAGCGAGTTGTCTGAAGAGCCTGCGCCTGTGAGAAGAGGAGCCTGCGGCGCAGCAGAAGGAACCGCACCTTCAGGAGGAAAGTGCGTGGGCGGGGGCGCAGCGGCGCGGGCTGCGGGCGCAGGCGCGCCCCACAGCGTCGGCAGGCGCGCGTGGCGTCAGGAGGGCACGTCGGCTGCCAGGATTCGCTGGGAAGAGCATCCTTCACCCCGGGGGTTGGTGTCCCCGTTGTCATGTGTGACTTTCAGTATTTATTTTGCTTCTGAGATGTCAGGATGCTTTTGTAGTACAACCTGTTAGTGTATAGATTTAGACCTCTCAAGAGGCTAAACATAATAATCTACTGCAAAAATAGAATAAAAATGCTTCCAAAATCAGTTTTGATTATGCCATTTAAGTAAGAGTTGTGGATGTCTCATAGTTAGTCATTACGAAATAGAGTCACACGAAAAACCAAGGTACAGGCTTACGGGATCTGTGCTAATCAATTACGGTTTGAGACTTCTTCCCCAAACGAAGTGTGTTTGGAATAGCGCCGCGGGCGTCGGGCCTCTTGTTAGCCGGCGACCGTCACTGCCGGCGCGCTCCAGCCCGATGCCCGGCGGCCGCCCGGCGTGGCCTTAGGGGCAGCACCGCCCCTCCGCCATGATTCCTAGGAGGACTCTGGGCGGAGTCGCCGTAGTTAGAGGCACCGCATTGTCGCCCGGGGCCCTGCTCGGGGCCAGACTGTCTTCTCTTGCGAACCAGGAAGCCAGGCCGCATGGAAATGGGGCCCCCAGTTGGAGGCAGAGCCCGCTGTCACAAGGTCACGCAGTGACAGACCAAAGCACACACCAGGCGTGGCCTAGAGAAAGAGGGTCGAGGCAAGAAGGTCGAGGTGGAAACTACAGGATTCTAGCCTTGAAAACTCGAGGATGTCCCAGGAGTCCGCGCACACGCAAGCGCTGCCAGGAGCCCTGGGGGAGGCAGGGTCTAGGGGGCCGCACACCTGCGCAGGCTGGGCTCTGTCCAAGGCGCTTTACCCCACTGCCTCACGTGGACACTGGGCTTGCAGGCGCGGCCCCGATCTGGCCGAGGGGGGCAACAAGGTTGGGACGCTCACGCAGCCAGGAAGGGACTGGGCGTCCGGACGGGACTTTGACTCCCAAGCCTGCGCCTCTTCTCCTGGGCATTCGGGGGACTCGTGGGCTCTTTGACGGCGCCAGGCCTCGGCCAGGTTCGTGGAGGGGGCTGCTGGGAAGCACAGGCTCAGCGCTGCCCGAGTCGCGCTGACAGGGTGGTGGGGCGCGAGCGAAGTCTCGGGGAGCCCGGGTGTAAAGGGGGCTCTGTATTGCCTGTGGGGGTGCTGCTGGAGGCGGAGGCAGTCGCAGGCCCTGGGCACCGCCCGCCGCTCCTCCCGGTTCCGCGAGGCCGTGGCTGGCGCAGGGCGGGCTGTGGCGCAGGGCACACTTGGGAAACAAAAGGCGTGGCCGGCGGGTGGGGCCCAAGGCCAGGTGCGGAAGTGACTCAGAAGCCCTCCTTCATTGGTGGCACCATTGTCTTTATTGTGTAAGAAACAGAGTAGTAGCTTTTACTTTTATAAAAACTGAAGATCCTTTAGGTGAGTCATAGTATTCAAAAGCCATTGTGTGCGGCTCAGAACAATGCCTGGTCATTAAGGGACTGCAGGGGATTGAGACCGTTTATACGCCCAACTGAGAAGAGAAAAAAAAAGGCAATTTAGTGATTTTATTTGGTTTATAATTCACTCTGATTTGAATCACTTTAGTTGCTGAGTTATTTTATTCCCAGGATAACTCCAACGCTAAGCTAGGACCACGCTCCCCGCGATGGACGGCCCCCGTCAGAGCGAGGGGTGGCGCCGCGTGCAGCCAGATGGGCTCATCGCGGAGGTGAGCGACTTGCCTGCGTCCGACGGCCTCCCAGGGCCCCTCCCGCACACGCTTGCTCTCCTGCAGGCTGCAGTGCGGCGAGGAGACCAGGGGCAGCTGGAGACGCGCGGCCGGGACCCTGCTCCTGTCAGCCCTGCGCGTGCACCTGGGCGACAGCCCCGGGAGCAGACACGACGGGCTGTCACTCAGCCACGCTGCCCTCTGAGGCGAGGCCGTGGGGGAGGCCCTGCAAATGGGCTGCGGAGTTCACATGCGCTGCCCACCGTGGAACAGATTACACCCAACGAAGTGTCTAGTGCTCAGGCCGTATCAGCCTAATCCTCGGCGGCAGTTCATCCCTCGGTGGCCAGAAAACGCCGCCCTCTGGCCCTCTCGCCACGCTGGCCGCCGCGTGCAGGGCGGCGCCCAGCCGTAATAAACCCAGGCCGTGTGCGATCTGACATGCAGATGTAGGTCATTGCATATGTAAATGTGCGATTACCAGCCTGCATGCCAGGACACATTAGCGAGCCCCTGCTCCCGGCGGGCAGCCGTCACGCCGCCTCAGCGGTTCACACCGACGTTTGTCAGCTGTCACGCCGACGGAAGACGGAATTCCCAGTCACGCTTAAAGCACAGGGACCATCGGACAGTGCTCCCGGGGAGGAAGCTGCGTCTTACCGTGGAGACCGCTGCCGTGTTGTCACCCTGAGAAAGCTCAGTCTGTGCTGGGGCGGAAGAGGAAGGAGTTCGGTGTCTGAGATGTTGGAAGCCATTTATAAACACAAATATTTCTTAGAAAAGCACAGGGAGAGCGCAGCCCGGCCCTTGGCTCCCGGGGGTCAGTGGGGGAGGGCGGCTGCGTAGCCGGAGCACCGGAGACTTGCAGGGCGGGGAGACTGTCCTGTAGGTACTGACACGGGTGCGTGTCCCTGTACATTTGTCCCAGCCCGTGAATGTGCAACACCAGGAGCAAACCATAATGTCTGCGGGAGCCTCTGCCTCATGGTGATGTCAGTGCAGGGCACGAGCTGCAGGAAACGCAGCGTCCGGGGGGACGCGGTGACGGGGAGGCTGTGTGCGTGGGCGGAGCCAAGGGTGCCTGGGAGATCTCTGCGCCTGCCTCTGCTTTGCTGCGGACCTGCACCTGCTCTAGAAACATAAAGGCGCTCTCACAAACTGTCGTGCAGTGGCAGCGAACCCCCGCCCTGCCCCGGAAAGGCCCTGCGCGCGTCACACAGCGTCGGGGAGCTCCGCGCTTGTGTGTTGCGTGGCAGGTTGGGCTAAATGAATATGCATATTTATTTACTCCATTTCAGCTCAAGGCTACTTTGAAAAAGAAAAGAGTTATCAAAGAAGTACTAGATTGCACAGGGCATGTGTATGTTCTGTGAACGAAAGACCCCTTTTAAAATGCCAGACTCTTCCCCCTTCCTTGTGCCCTGACTTGTCCTCTCCTTCTTCCATGACTGGTTTTCTTCCATATGACATAATAGGTACATGTGTTCGCAGTGGGCTTGGTGATTGTCGTTCTCCCCCAGCATCGCCGGTGGGGCCCGCGGCCGTGTCTGTAGGTGGAGGCCGGAGCCGGGTCGGGATGGGGGTCCGGGACACCAAGTCCCGCTGCCGCAGGGCCGGCCTGCTGATGTGAAAACCGTCGATGTGTGTGTATATCGTGCGATTGAAAACTTTTCTGACTTTTTTAATTACAGAAGGCCTTACGACCGGATATGGGCTATAATACGTTAGCCAACTTTCGAATAGAAAAGAAAATTGGTCGCGGGCAATTTAGTGAAGTTTATAGAGCAGCCTGTCTCTTGGATGGAGTACCCGTAGCTTTAAAAAAAGTGCAGGTAAGATGATTTCAATTTTATAAATCATTGTAACCTCCTGCTGTGTGAATGATCAATAATCGGTGGACAAGTCTGTCCTGACTGATTGGGTGGCATCTGTCCTACGCAGGGAATTCTGGGGAAGAATAACAAGTGTCTTTTGTATCTGCAGGCTGATGGGGGCTGGGGGGTGGTGTGGGGGGATGGTGTGGGGCGCATAGTGGAAATTATGTTTCGGTGTCGCTGCGGCCTCTAGGCTTTCCGATGAGGCAGTTTGGTGCCCCCAACTCGGCGATGACCACAGAGACCCCGGAACAGCGTCCACAGCGCTCGGCTTCCCAAGGCGGCCTCAGGGTCGGCCCGCGCCTTGCGGGACAGGGCCAGGCGCGGTGGGCCCGCAGGAGCTGGGCGGCTCCGGGCGCGCGATGGGTGAGGAGACCCCGGGAGGGGCTGCCTCCCTCAATCAGTGGCCCTGGGGTCCGGGCGGGGCGGGGGATGAATGCGGAGGCCACGTTCATGGCGATGAATGACAGACACCGAGGCGGCCCGTGCGGGAGCCGGTGTCCTGCCTGAGACCCCGGTGCTGGGTGCTGTGCGGGTGTCACCCCGGCTCAGCTGAGACCCCCGGGCTGGCGGGGCTTTGCCTGCGCCTCCTGCTGCACCCTGCCCTGAGCTGGTGGCCCGCCCCACCCCCCGTGCTCGCTTTTCCCGACAGGCCCAGAGAGTCTGATTTTTCCCACCCTCTCGCCCGGGCGACTGGCCTCTGCGCCCCGTGTACCTTCGGCCCTTCCAGCCTCACCCACCCCTGCAGTTGCCCTGCTGCACCTGGCAACCTGTTCTCTTTTCTGGAGGGACGCCTGTGAAACCTAAGTTTCCTTGTTTTTAAAAACCGATTATGAAAAATCACCAGGCCTCAGCTGCAGCCTGCACGTGCCCGTCCCAGCGGAAGGCGTCCCCTCCTGCCCGGCGGCGTCCTCCGCTCTCTGCCGGCTTCTCCATCGCAGGCTGCCCTCCCCTGTGCCCCGGCGACACCCTTCTCCTGGGCCCCCGTGGGGACCCCCCCGTGGCCGCCTTCCCCGCCTCGGCTGACTTGTCGCCACGGCCTGGAGCTTGCCTCTCCGGTGGCCGGGGATCGTGCTCGGCGCTTCTCCTGCGGCGTTGGCTTCCCCTTTCTGTCCCCTTCCGTGGCTCCTCGTGGCTCCACTGCTTCGGTGCCTTCCTTCCTCACGGTGATAATTGGGGATCCTTTGCATCTCCTGCACCCCTGGTCCTCACCCACAGCTTCCGCGGCCCCGACCAGGCGGTTTCTGACGCCGTGCAAGGCCTGACTGGGCTCCACTGAGCTTCCAGCCCTCGTGAGTCTGAGCGCCAGAGGCGGCCCCGCGGTCTTCCCGGAGGCCGTTCGGTGTGGGGAGCCCTGCTGGGCGGTGCCGCTGCCTGGCCGAGTCCGCGAGCAGTGAGCTGGCCTGCGGGGTCGAAGGGCGCCCCGTGCAAGCGAGGGCCGTCACGGGTGTGGGGCGCTTGGTCTTGCCGACAGGCGTCTCGCGCCAGAGCGCCACTGCCCGGGCCTCAGGGGACCCGCCAGGACAGCGGGGAGGCCCGGCTGTGAGGCTGCGGTTCAGGCGTGCGGGCGCCCTGAGAAGGGGGTGGACGCCGGGCAGCGGTGAGAGTGGAGTGGACGCGGGCAAGGGCGCCGGGGGCCGGGACAGGGCCGAAGGGGCGCAATCCCGGGCCGAGATGGGGAGGAGGAGGGGGCGGAGGGCCTGTTGCCGGGCTCCTGTGGGGCCGGGCCGCGCCCTCACTTCCCGGGGCTCTGCGGAGCCCGGCGGCCGGAGGGGCCCGGGAGGCGTGCGGTCAGGGTGGCCCCTGCGTGAGCGTCGTCTGAAGCGACGTGTGCCAGGTGGGCCGGACTCTCTCGGGGGCCCTCTTAGCGCGTTCTGTGCGACGCGGTAGGCGTTTTCCTTCTAACGAATTGACACCTGCCTTTCGAGGACATGCCTGCCAAGTCCCTGGAAGCCTTCGCACGCTTCGAAAGCTCTCTGGTGTTATCCTCCTCATCCTTGGCCGTCGGCGGCAGTTTTGGCAGAATTTGAAGGTGACAAAAGAAAATTTTTTAAATGGTCCGGAAAACTCTTGTCAGCCAGTACTTGCCTCGATGCTGCTAATAACTTTGCTCTTCCCAAGTATAAAATAAATTTAAAAACTCAAAGACACTTTGGTAGAGCTGAAAAAGATGGCTTCTGAAGACAGCTTGTAAATATTTTATGAAAATATTTCACAAAATCTAGATTCTACCCTCCCCCCCCATCCCATGTGCTGCCTTTTCTTGCTCATGAAATGAGACAGCTTTGAATCTGTGTCTGGGAATTATTTAATCTAAAGGTTCAGTTTTTATTTTATCTTGACTTGCTGGCTAAGAGAAAAAGAAAGATAAGATACTTCTGAATTTCCAATTAAATGTATTTATTCATGGAATTGGTTCAGAACTTAGTTTTGCCATAAATTTACCAGCAGCGCTCATTTCCCTCTGTTGGAGGACTGGCCGCCGGTTACAGGTTGATTTGTGACTCTGAGGTGGCCTAGGTGGGGTCAGAGGGCGGTGATTTCCACGTGGCCGCTCTGCCGGGGAGTGGCGTGTCCGTGGCGGCGTCCGAGAGCTCTCGTGCACATCTCACGCGCGTCCCACGGGCTTTTCGCTGAAGTGTTTTTTCCAGCACGAAGACAGCACGTACCGAGGGACCAGATCTATCCACGTCTCCAGGCTTGTGGCATTTCAGTTTAGCTGCTAGTACCAGAATCATCCTTTCTCTGCGTTCCGGGGGAAAAAAATTCCCAGGGGTTCCTTTAAGGTCTGAGACGGTTAAAACCTCGCGCCTCCCTCCATTTCCCTGAGCCGTCTCAAGTGCTGTGACGCGTCGTTCCCGGGAAGAGCGCCGGCTCCCATGATTCGGCAAGAGCCGTGACTGCTCCTGCCCCTTGGATTTTTCACGCGCAGGCAGCCTGGGCCTGTGTGTGTTTCCTGCCCACAACGCCAAGCCCAGAATGTTCTGTTCACATGAATACATGTTATTGTTAACGTGTCCTACGCCGACACCGTTTCTTGGCATCACTTGCAGAGATGAGTGGCTTTTCTCTGTGCCGTTGCCGAATGCCGGGCTTGCCCCTTTCCGCCGCGACCTTCCGGCGTGACTTACTCCTAAGAGCCCTTCGCCGGGCGTCTCGCACGCTGTGGATCCGAGGGTCCGTCCCTGCCTGGCTGAGGCGGCCCCGTGTGCGTGCGAGTCCTCTGCGCGCCTGTCTGCACCTGCCTCCTATGGGGCGGTGCTGCTCCCTCCCTTGTTTCTACACTACAGCCTAACCGCGAGTCAGAATGCAGCACGGTTTTGTGAAGGATAGGAGCGCGGCCGTGGGCAGGGGGCCGGGCCTACGCGTTTCCTCCTGGTCTTCCCGCCGTCCCAGCCTCCCCGCCGCAGCCATCTGGTCCCAGCCTTGCCGTTCGCGTCCCTCGAACCGCGTATAGTGCCTCATCTCCCAAACGACTGCACGCAGGAGCTTGATGGCTGCAAAACAGCTTCTTCCTGCTGCTTCAGGCCGGCTTTCGGAGGGGGTCTGCCTCCCCCGTCCTTTCTCTCCTGTCTCCCCTCCTTTCCGCCCCGTTCCATTCTGTTCCGCTCTGAAACCGCAGAGGTTGGCAAGTTCGCGGTGGCCAGGAGGGGGCCGTCAGAGCAGGGGGAGGGAGGAGAAGTCGCTGTTTCTGGTCCGGCACCGGGAGAAAGTGGGACGGACTGTGAGGCCGTCAGCTTTGCTGGCTCTTTGTGAGCCGTTAACTAGGATGGAAGCCTGTGTTTTTCCCCAAATCATACTACGCAGTGCTCAGCTGATTCGCATTAAACTGGAAAAACGTAAACTCGGTATTTGAAGTTTTCATCAGAAACAGTACCATCGCGAGACAGTTGAAGGCTGGAGGAATAGGAAAAGCGTGGTGCTGAAGCGTTCGGTGAGAGAGCATAAGCCAGTTTGTGCACTGCTGTTCCTCTCGCCACGTGAAAGACAGGGCTTGTACGAGAGATGGACGGACGGAAGCAAGAGCCAACGTTGTTTAGGGACGTGAGTGCATGGATTCGTTTTTGCTTTATTTTGTACGTTTTCTTCATCAGTTGTTTTACATTGAGGGAGCAGCAAAGACACGCGCGTGTTGGTGGTCGCGACGCTGCCGCTCGCAGCCCAAACGGTGCTTTCGGGACGCATCTGGCGGTGGAGCTGGGATTCCTCAGGGCTGAGCTTCGGGGTCACCCTTCCACGTGGGGGCTCCGTTTCTGGGTGTCTGTCACTGCCCTTTGCGCCCACGGGCGCTGTGGAAGTCAGTGGCTAGTGGTGTGTGTCGGGGGAGGTCACAGCATCTGGGGCCAGCGGAGGCGGTGCAGGCGCTGGGCCTGGACCGCCGGACGCGGCCCGGGTGCTGCCGCGGACAGCGCTCGGCCACGAGGGCCTGCCCGCTCCCCAGCTCGGTCCTCACTGCTGCCTCCCGGCGGGCCGGTGGGTGGGACGCAGAGCCCGCGCCCTCTAGTGCCCCGCCGGCGCTCAGCGCTGCCTTCTCCTGCCACCGCGGCCTCGCGGCCTTTTTCTTCATTATCACCCCCAGGGGTCTCTGCCGGCATTTTCCCCCGCGTGTCCCCCCCCACCCCCACGTCACTTGCGCAGATACGTCTGCTTCTGCGTTGGACTGTGTCTGTGCCTCCTCCCAGCGAGAGGAGGGTTGTGTTGCCATCACCGCTGCCTCCGGAGGGCCCGTTTCTGCCCCAGGCGGTGGCAGTGCCCGCCAGGGATGCGGGCCCGAGGCGTGGCCCCCGCGCCGTGACCGATGGGGCTGCGCAGGGCGCGGGCGGCAGCAGGTGGCTGTGGGAAGGGATCCCGGCCGCTCCGGGCCCTCGCCCTGTGGACGCTGCTCAGCGTCTACGCTTTCTGCGCCGGCTCTTCTTCTTCTGCAGGAGGGGAATGCTCGCGTCCCCCGGGATCAAACGAGAATTAAATGAGTAGTCCATCTAGCACGTCGCAATTGCTCGATGGATACCGAGCAGTGTTCTGTCCCGCTGACCCAAGACCTGGAACGTGTAGCTGTTCTCTTCCCGCTTCTTGCGCTGGTTGCCGTTGGAGGGAGAGCCGCGTGCTCCAGCGGTGACATGAAATAAAATACCCGCGGGTCCCTGCAGCTCCTGAGAGCTCATCGGAGAGAGAACCTTGGAGTGTGTATATAGTTATATGTGAAATAGCATAATGAGTTTGCATGGTAGCTTGAACCGTAGATTACTGTTTTATTAAGTAACCCTGGATTCTGTTTTTAGATATTCGATCTGATGGATGCCAAAGCCCGTGCTGATTGTATCAAGGAGATCGATCTCCTGAAGGTAAACTGCCAACTGGCCGTCGCCTCTTTTGAACGTAGCTGGATATGCGGAAGAAAGTGGTCTATTGCAATGGAGCACTTTCAAGCAAAAGGATTTATATGGCCCCTGTGCCACTCTAGTTTTAAGGGACCGTCGGGGTTCGGATCTCAGTATGCTGAAAAATGCAGTTACCTTTTGGAATCACTGTACAATAATTTAACTGGCACATTTGGTAGGATAGCTCCCCCCACTTCCCCCATTTCACACTGGGAATACATTAAAGGGGCGTAAAACATTGCACAAATTGTGTTCTGGACCATCCCAGACATTTTCTAAAGATTAAGTAATAATATAAATGCATATTAGTATTATCTCAAGATAGGACACGTTGAGAATGTGGACTGATCCTAACAGCTCCCACATTTTTAATATTTTTGTATCTTTTTTTTCCAGGTTTAGAAAGGGTAATATAGGAGTATGTCAGGATTAGCTTTTCAGTTTCTTGCCCACTCAAAGAATATGACCGACATTTCAGTTATCTCTGCGCTGCTTTTGTTCTGGTGAAATGCCGTCTGAGGAATGCTGTGCCTTACATGTTCAGCTTTCAGAAGAGGCTTGGGTGTTCCTTATGCCGCCCATTTTTGTTGGTGCCTAAAATGAATCAGATTAATCCAAGATGATAACAGTGAGATAAAAATGGCCTGTGTTTTTAAACTGCTCTATTAGTTGTAGCTACTTCCTGGGAAAGGAGTAACTACTTTAAAAATATATGTAAGCTTTGTGGGGAAGACGCCCCCTAAGTGGAAAGAAGAGAAGACGCTCATGCATACACTCTTCTGGGATAATTTTTGAATAATTTTCTTTGAGAAACTATTTGTCTTATGTCAACTTGTTTAAAGGTTAAAAAAGGATTGTACAAGATCATACATGTGTATGAAATGATACATGTATTTCTCGGTGGTGACATTTTCCTTAGGGGATTCTGTGACTCAGTTCCATAGATAAGTGTAGACTGTTCATGCCATTTGGTGTAGGCAGTATTTGGATACAATATAACAGATGCTATTTGTTAAAGTTTCTATTTTATTTTTTGTTTGTTTTAGCTTTTGACGACTTGATGTAGTTATACTAGGACCATCCGTAACTTCAAAATAGGAGTGAAAAGAAAAACTTTATTTACCATGGAGTGCCCTAAAATGACAGTTCTCATTTTGAAGGATATATTGTAATTTTTAGCATTGATGACCGGATTATGCCATTCATTTATATGCATATGTAGATATGTTTATCGGACATGGCAATACTTTAAAAAATTTAAAGTGTGTGAATTACTAAATTACTTCTAATTAAGGATATTAAAATAAAATAGATACCTAGTTTTACTTTCAAAACTTATGATAGTTGTTTTAAAATTGACAACATTAAGGAAAAAGACACTACCCTCTTAAGATTTCTGTAACTGAAAAATGAAACCAGTAACTAAATTTATTCTGAAGTTATGAAACTATTGAGAATTTTCAGTGAGAAAACTTTTTGATGCCTTTTTTTTTCTCCTTAGCAACTCAACCATCCAAATGTAATTAAATATTACGCATCATTCATTGAAGATAATGAATTAAACATAGTTTTGGAATTAGCCGATGCTGGTGATCTATCCAGGATGATAAAGGTAAGGTTTAAAAAAAGACAAACTACAGACTTCTTGTTGTTTAGTAGGATTGCCTGCCAGACATGCAGGTCTGTCTCATACGTTAGATGAAGACCTCGGTGCATGTCTCAGCCTCTGACGGACAGGCCACCGGTGACAGGCAGCGGCTGTGCCTGTGAAGCCGTTCTGCCTGGTGAAGTCCACGCTGGGCAACCTGGAGGCGCGGACGCTCCAGAACCGACCCGGAAAGCGGCCACAAGGCGTGTCTCCTGTGAGCTGAAGTTGCGGTTCCGCAGCTGGGTTCCCCCGAGCACCGGCTTTGCTGCTCTGCCTTGGGCGCCAGGCACAGCGGGGCAGAAAGAGGTGGCCGAGCAGCCCGGCCGTTCCTGAGGGCTGTTCATCGGAGGGGAGCGCATCTAGGCCTTGCCTATCAAACCCTGACACAGCCCCTATTTTTTTCCCCCAAAGGCTTATAAATGGGGTTTAAGTTTAGCCACAAGTCATAGAAACCCCCGCGGAACGGTAGCCCCAAAACTGCCTGTTCTTGGGCGGCTTCTTTCTGTGTGCCTCATTTTCTGAAAATCAGAATAAGAGAGCCTACTTCCTAGGGCACTTTAATGGATTAATAAATTGATATTTATTAAGAGCTTAGGACAGTGTCTCACACATAGGAAGGTGTGTATGTAAGGGGAAGCCACAGCTGTATTACTATTCTTACGTGTATTTCTGTGTTACATAAAAATTGTGGGCCTGATAGGGCAGTTCTGACGGATCAGATCCTCAGAGACCAAGCCTGTGTACAGCTGGTCGAGGCAGCGTCCCAAGGGGAAGGCACCAAGGGCCCTTGCTGGCTGTGTCCCCGGACGCCCTGCTGGACGCTGCCGCTCGGCGTTTCTGGTCTTAGCCCACTGGCCCGGGCGTAGTCACCACCGCGTCCGGCTGCCTTGGGGGCTGGAACGTGGCGTCTGCCTTCAGCCGGGCCTGTGCTGCGCCCGCCTCCTGCTCTGGGAGATGAGTGGACCAGGGTGGGAGTCAACGAAAACCAGCCACAGTAGCCGAGGACGGCTGTTTATTCTGAGCCCCCCGTAGCGAGGGAGTCAGCCACGGTCCCCGACGCTGGGGCAGAGTTCACAGGCAGGCGGAGGGGCAGGGCACCTTCGCAGGGGGACAGAGCAAGGCTGCGGATGCGCCCTGGTTACGGGCTGTCAGCTGGGGAGGCTGTCGGTGACCGGGAAGCTGGGCATCTCCTAGGGCTGGCTAGAGATGTACTTGGCTTTCTCTGGTTGGTTCTGAGTTGGAAGCAGGGACAAAACTTAGAAAAGCTGTCAGTTGTTAAAGAATTCCTGGCCATGGGGGGCTGATAGTCAGAGAAGCCACTGTTTAGCTTCCTGGGTCGTCCCTAGAGGTGGCAGTCTGACTTCCTACCGGCCCGACGCGGCAGACCGGCTTCCTGGGTTGTTTGGTAGAGATAAAAGCCTGGCTTTCTGTTCAGGCTGCCGAAGGCTGCGGTTCAGAGTTCTATTTTTATCTGTGGTCTGGCCATTGTCTGCTTGTGCGTTCAGCCCCTCGGCAGGTCCCCGAACGCGAGGAGCAGCTTCAGCACGTGGGGTCGTTGTGGGGGGTGGGGGGACATTTACAAACAGCGCTGGGTGTTCCGCCCGCGTGGCCCCGCTTAGCGTGCGCGAGGGTTCTGAGAGGCAGATCGGCCCTCGGGGAACTGGGGGCCGTCGCCCGTAAGCAGGGGTGCCGGCGTTGGAAATAGGTCTGGCTCGTGCCGAAACCTCGTGTTTCCCTTCGGTGGCCCTGAAGGACGTGTATCACAGGACTCCTTTGAAAAATCAGATGAGAACCCAACGTCTGCCTTTCGGGACAAAGCCTTCCCCGGCTTCTGAGCCAGGCGTCGGCCGACCCCCCAGCGGCGGCCAGAACCCTGCCCTTCCCGAGAGCTCGGAGCCAGCCTCGTGGCACCGCCGCCACGTCCCTTCTGCCAGGCGCAGGGTGCTCGCCTGCGAGGCGGAGACGGCCTCCAGCTGCTTTCTGAATAGTAGCTGCGCTGCAGAAAAGGAAGCTAATATTCTTATTATCACAGAATGCCATCAAGCTGACTCTGAAGTCCCATGGTCGGCGTGACTCACTTCTGATGGGTTATCTGGTTTTCCGTTTTAGGGACTTCCCACTGTGAGCACAGCTAACCACCAACAAAATGTCCTTGTGAGTTAATGGACAATAAAAAAATTAGAGTGCTAATTTTAAGAAGACATGCAAATACACAAATGCAAACTTTTGCCAAGCAGCTGTCTCTCGCTAGGAAACACATAAAGAGAGAGACGACTAAAGAAAATTCCGTGCCGAGCCCTCTGGAGACAAGAGTTAGTTCCCGCGGAAGGAAGGAGGGCGGACCCTGCCGAAGGGCCCCGCCGCGGGCCCCGCGCCCCGCTGACCGGGCGGTGGCGGCCGCGCAGCCTTTCGCTCCTGCCCACACCGGTTTCCTTCCTTTGCTGCTCCTGCCCCACGCACAGGCGAGGCCCTCCTCCGTGGGCCGTGGGAATGTGCTGCCCCCACCCCCAGGAGCACAAGCGCAGGCCCCGCCTCCGCCTGCAGCAGAGGCGCCGCCCAGGCCCGCGAGAGGCAGGTGCTGTCGGGCTGATGGCGTGTCTGTCGTGTGGCGGACTCAGCTCTCCTCTGAGTGGGCCTCGCCACCCGTCGACATTCTCAAGGGAACGTTTTCGTCGGCTGACCCCGTGGAGGTAGGGAGACGGGCTCAGAACCACAGGATTCTGTTTGGTAACGAGTAGGCGCCGACTGACGGAGAATTGATAACCGTGCTCTTAGGATGCGCTGGGGGCTTCTGACTAGAACTCGAAGGGATCCATCATGTGAAAGAGTAATTAGGAAACTTTTTAAAAAATACAAGATATCAGCGGATTCTTAGTAAGTCCTCAGCTTACAGAGCAACTGAACGTACTTGGGTAGAGGTCTGCAGTGCTTCCTCCGTAGAGGATCGGCAGCACCGCTCCTCTGCCGCCCCTGCAGGCTTGCGGTGTGACCCTTCGGAGTGTCTGGTCTTTCTCACAAGGACCACCTGTGTGCCCCGTCGCCATGCAAGGCCTCTGGGGCAGGTGTCGCCAATCCTCGCGGGACCCGTCTGAAGACCGACGGCCACGCTGCCGAACCTGTACATCTTGCAAGAGTCTCAGCCTAGTGACCGCAGCAGCAGGCTTGGCCAGTCAGTTGCACGCGAGCAGAATGTCTTCATGGCCTGGTTGCACACACGCATGTCTTCTGCAGCGCGACAGTTTAGATCTGACCGAATACCCGAGTGCATTGAAAGAGAGGAATTTAACAACCCGGCAGGGTCCGACAGGCGAGCCTTCTCCTGGTCCTTCCATACATAGAATCGGTTGCATTATGGACCAATGCATTTCAGTAGCACACAGAGTTATGGCTTTTCTCTCGGTTTGTTCAATAGAAATGAAAGAATTTGACTCAAGCTGAGCGTTTATTTTGAAATGTAAACAGAGGTCCCTCTTGTCACGCGTGCGTTTCTTGCCACCTCCTGCGCCCGGGCGTCCGGCTCTGGTGCCGTCCCCGGGCCCTGAGGCTCCCCCGCCCTCGGGCCGCAGGCCGCATCAGTGTTGTCCAGCTGCCCGCGCGGAGGTCCCTGTCACAGGCCGGGCCTTGCAGCCCGCACGCGGCCTGACACCCCAGCACACTTGGGACAGTCCCCTTGCATGGCACTCGGGAACGCGGCCAGCGGGTGGAATTGCGGTGTTTACGGGTCGGGCTGTGTCACGGGTACTGCCGTTTCCCACCCGGCCCGAAGCTCTGCTGAGCTCAGGGACCCTGTCTGCTTTGCTCGCCGGTCCGTTTCCAGCGAGGGGCCTGGCTGATGGCCACAGCTCATACGCAGGCGCCGATGCGTGCGTGGCAGCGGATTGCTCTACGCGCGGGACCCTTCTCTGTCCCGGGCCCATGCCCGGCTCCCGCTCCGCTCTGCGCCCACGGGAGCGGCTGGGCTGCTGAGAGTGAGAGGGTGTGGCCGGCTGGCAGGAGGGGGCTTTTCCTTGTCGGCCCTGAGAACTTTTGTAGGTGTTTTCTCATTGTTTGTGCTGTGAGCTGATCTGTGTAAAATAGGCTCCCTTAGGAGAACTCACAGGAACTTCTGCTCGGAAGGAGCTTGCCGTGACTTAGTGCTGCGGGACCGACAGCAGTAGGCGCTGGAGTTGTAAGGGATGCGACTCGTGTCTTTGTGCTGAGGAGTGTTGTAAATCATCACAACAAAATAGTTCACTGCCTCGAATCTTCAGCTTAATTGGGGTAGAAGACAGAAGAGGGGCTACAGCTCCTGGTCTGCATTCCAGAAGCGAACCTACGCGTCGCCTCAAAGAGTTTTCAAGTAAATAATTAATTGGCTTAGAGCAGGCTGACAAATGTAATTAAGCAATTTATAGTTGAAATATTCAGTATTTCTCTAATTAGTGACAAAGGGATACCTGAGGCTGTGGTCAGATGAAATCGTTCCCAGATGAGCTTTAACATGAAAGGAAATCCGGGACTTTTCACATTATACTTCTTTATCACCAGCAATCAGAATTTTAAAGGAAAATACACTTTTACACACCAGATTTCAGTCGATCCAGTTGTGACACAGGGGCTGTAAAGCCTCTGTTCTGGGCCCTAAAGTGGGCCGACACGCGTGCCCCGTTGTGCAGCATGGCTCGTGAGTGCCTCTCGCTTCACTCTGGCAGCGTCGAGAAACGTGCTTGGTGATGGCGACGCGGTGCGGCGGGGACGCGGGGCCGGGCTCGGGGACGTGCGAGCCAGCCTTCGTCTTGGCCGGCCGGGCCAGGCGCCCTTTTGGGAAACAGAGCAGCTGCCGCGGAGCCTTCGCCCCACCCGCAGCGTCCTCCCTGCCACGGGCCGCTCTCCGGCCGCCCCAGGCCCTGGCCCGGAGCGCGCGGAGGGCCAGTCGCCTGAGATGCGGGCCCGCTCAGGAGCCTCAGGGCGACAGCTCCGCGGCG